TGGGCTGGCCGCGGCGCACAGACATTTAAATGGGAAGACGGCGGTGGGAGAGGAGGAGCCCCGTTCCTTCAGAGAGCTTTTATCTTGTGCCCAGCCCTCTGCAAGGCGGCTTTTGGGAGGGATTCCTTTTTTTTTTTTTTTTTTTTTTTTTTTCTTTCACTTCCTTTCAGTTTTGGTGATTCATTTTTCTGAGGTCACATGGTGGAAAGCAGGACATCGGCCCCTGCCCACAGAGGCCAAGGTGGGCACCATGCTTCCCCCAAACGCACCAGGCTTTCGGCAGCAATCCCAACCTGTACCGGGCAGATCTTCCAGTTTGCTACACCCTGCTCCAAGAGCCAGACCCTATGAGGGACATTTCCCTCCCTTGCAGGTGATGTCCGGTCACTCTGCCCACACCCAGGGCACAGCTCCCAGCCTAGGGCTGGGCATCGCAGCTGGACTTGCTATGGGGAGGGCAGGGATGTGCCAAGTACCAGTTTAGAAACCCTCGAGGTTACAGAGCTCAAACAGGAGACAGCAGTGGAAAAACTCTCTGCGCACTGCGAGCGCTGCTTGGTTCCTCTTGCCACAAAGCAAGTCACTTCCATCCTCCAAACAATTGAAATTAGCTCCCCCCACCCCGAAGTTTTCCTGCAAGGCAAACTGCAGAATGGAAAGCTGACGGCCAGCACAAAACGACAAAACATCGAGAAGCAAACCAGGACTTTCTTGGAGACAGGCCACCAAAGGTGCACACGCCAACACGGCCCTCGGCCCGAATCGTACAGTGACCACTGTGCCCCACAGCCCTGCAGTCACCCCACGTGGCAGTGCTGCACACATGTGTCACGTTAGCATGGCCCAGCATGTGGGGACATGCGTCAGCGGCCAGATCTGTGCGTGCTGCCCGAACACCAGCAGGGAAGGCTTTCCACCAGGACACAGCTAACACTGGGGACTTCACTGGCTAAAACACCACTGGCAGCCAAGGAGGACATCAGCAGACTCAAGGTCACAGCTGCTTCTGTGTCCTGCAAAAGCAGAGGGAAGTCAAGAGGTGGGAGAACAAATCTCATGTGCTTTTGGCGGACAGGGCTGGCTGTACAGCTTGAGGTTGAAGCTGGTGAGGAGAAGGACAGCACCAGCCCCAAAGGGTTTTCACTGTTCTTCAGCTTGGGAACCTGTAGATGATGTGCCCTGGGAAACCAACCTGCACTGTAAAACAAGGGCTTGGAGCACCTATGCCTGTGGCTGTGCTCAGCCCAAGACCCGCTCCTTGTCCCAGCAGCACTGGGAATAGGGCTGCAAAGCTGTTCCTAAGCACACATGCACATTCCTGTGCTCACAAGCAACTAAGAGAGGACAGTCTGAGACAGAGATGTTTGCCTAGTTCCTATGGGTTGTAAATAAAACCATGTGGCAGTGCTGAACAAAACGATCCTTGGACTTCTCCCAAAAAAGTCGGGCCATCCCTGGATGAAGAAAGGTTGAGAAGCATGTCTGTGGACAGCACATTTCAAGCAGAGCCCACATGCAGAGAACAGAGAGAGAAGGGCACCCGCATCACTGCAGCGGTCCTGCTCACAGCCTAACCGCTCCCTGGGTGCTCCAGAGGGACTCACACCAGGTCCTTCACATGGATGATAGAGAAGCCCAGTGAGGATGGAATGCATGGGTTTTCTCCTGGCTGATGCTCCCAGCAAACACGAGAGACAAATCATCACGTGGGAGCAGGCAGAAAACACAGTGCTGGCATCCCCCTTCCTCAGCTCTGCTCTTTCTTCCGAGTCAAGATCCTTTCCCACGTTCCCTGGAGCGGCTGCGGCTCCCCAAGGCCAGCCCACAGAAATCCCCACGCCAGTAAACCTGTCAGCAGCACCTGGCGACTGCGGCTGCCATTAACCCCATCCCCACCTAAAAAACTTCATTCCCAGAAATTTTGGAGGGGTTCTGCCAGGAAAGTTTTGGCGAAGGGCCACGTGGATTGCAAAAGGCACCATTTTTTAAGAATGCCACTGCAAAATCACAAAGCGCTCCGACTGCAAGCCTTGCCGCCAGCTTCCAGAGGCAATTCTGGTCCCTCCATCCCACCCTGCTGCAGCATCAGCACTCCATGGGCTCCCAGACAGAGCTAGCAGCCTCCTGCCCTACATGGGAAGCTCTCGGTGTTGGCCTAGCAGCAGACAGCCACTGGGTGACAAATGGATGGAGATACCAAAGCAGGGAAGCCCCAGGACTTGTGCCTGGGATGTTCTGTGGCTCTGGGATGTTCCCTGATCCTACATTCACTAGCCCTACAGCAGTCAGAGATTCTCTAACCCAGGCACCAAACCTGGTCAGAGCCACTGTGCTCTGCTGCTGCAAGGAGACACGCTGCCCTGTGCCAAAAAGCAACTCACGGTGCAATTGCACTGCTTTCCCCACGGACAGCTCGTATTATTGTTAGTGATCATTCAGGCTTTGTCAGCTCAAGCTGCCCATGTCTACAGGCCGGTGCCGAGGCACTGCCCGACATGCAAACACACTTCTTAGAAGAAGGCTGAGGGCAGCACGGTGCAGGGGCAGCGCACTCTGCCCACCCGCACAGCTCCTTCTTCTGCAGCATCCGGGGAGGGAAAGGAACAAAGAAGGAGAACAATTGCTATTGTTTCTGCAGACGTTCTCAGGGCTGGTTCCGCTGCTGCCCAGAGACGCCGGCCACACAGAGGCCCTGCTGCGCTTAGAGCTGCACTGATGGCAGCTCCCATCCCTATCCCAACCTGCTCACAGAGCTTAGCATGGAGCGCCAGGAGCACAAGGGCTGGGCAAGCTGGCCACCAGGCAGCATCGGTCCTGAGCTGGCCCGATAGAGAAACCCTACTGGCCACCCCCCAGCAGCCAAGCATGTCCCATGCTATGCAGATTCTGCAGGGCCTCCTGGGGCTTGGCTGTACCGCCAGGTCCAGGAGCCTCCTGCAAGAAACCCCCAGTCCTGGAGAGCCGTAGCGCTGGGCAAGCCTTGCCCCCGCATGAGATTTCACCCAACTGAAGTTGTTGTCACGCCAGCCCAAATTTGGGTTGCAATTTGCCAAATTGTTTTGGCATGGGAAAAAAAAAAACCTGCTTTGGGGCAAGACAGCTAACCTGGCTGTGGGCGGAGAGACTGCCAGCAGCCGGCCCAGCATCCAAGAGCGTGGGTGCCCCACACCCCCCGGCATGCTGCATCTTGCAGCCTGCTGCTTTGAACCCACCTCCTGCAGCCCCCAGCCTCTCAGCCCACAGGTGCCCAGTTCTGTGCAGTGAGGGGAGGCTGGAGCTCACGCACGGCAGCTGCCCTGTAATAACCCACCGCCCGTATCATTACCATTAATTATATATTAACATACCCCGTAATCTGCGTTGCTGCTGCAGTTCCATCCCAGGGTGTGAGCTGCTTTCAAAAGCCACAGTATGGGACTGAGTCAGCACAAATTGTGTCACCTGATTCAGGTAGTGGCGATGGACCCAGTGCTGAGCATCTTCATCCTGCTGGTCTGTCAGCCATGGCCTTACTCAGAACAACATGATGCAGTGCCCTACAAGTGGATGGTGCATGGTCAGGAGCCCCAGGAAGAAATACTGCAGGAATTGCTCCTGCAAGTCTGCCCTCCTATTAAACTGCTTTATGTGAGTAAGAAGTGCTCAGTATTTACAGGTCTTGTCGCATAGTTTGCATCTTAAGAACAGTTAAACAACAAACTATGCTGAATCTAACACTCTGTTGTGCACCCCTGATCTCCAGCCAAGGCCACGCTGCAGGTGGCTGTGCCTCTCTGCTCTCCCAGAGGCAGAAGACACACAGCATCCTTCCCAAGACACAACACAAGTCAGAGGAAAGCAAGAACCTTCCAGAGATGCAGAGCTCCATCCTGAAGGCAGCACACCGCCTTCCTTCCATTCACATCCAGCCAAAAAAAAAAAAGAAAAAAAAGCAGGAGAGCACCCTCTTGATTGCTCTGCCCTGGAGCTGCAGCCCTTTCATGTGGTTCCAATGCCTCTCCCGCAGCAGTTTGCACTTTCAAAGAACGGCGTGCAGGCACACACACACAACACAATTACTGAATGGCTTGCATCCCACTGTGTGTGTTCTGACACTGCTCCTTTTGCCAAGAAGAAAAAAAGCACACGCATGTATATGTAGGCATACACAAAGGCTCTCGAAAAGACACTGCTTGCATCTTTACAGCTCTGTTGAGTCTTTACATACAGATAGATAGATATAAGCCTAAGGCAAATATAACCCACAGAAAGAGTTTTTGTCTTTCTTTTTTTTTTAATCTTTAATACTTTGCTTGCATGCGTAACACCTGTAGCATTCTGACACTCCCCAAGGAATGTATTTTATAGTAACTGTTGCAGGCAGAAAAAAGGCAACGGCTCAGAAAATTATTGCTACTGGCTAGCATTACACACCTTGCTAGCGTGAGTACTCTTTCAAGGAGAGGATTAAGCTTTCAGGGGAGGCTATTGCAGCATCCAAGTGGCAGCTTTACAAGCAGGAAGGCCGGGGTGTTCCCCAGACAACTGTCTGTGCATGGAAACTCTCAGTGCAGGCTGCGCTGAGCTCTGCTTGAGAGCTCTGTTTTGGGGGCACTGTCCAATTCCTCCTGAGAATCTCCAACTAATTGTCCTTCCCCAGCCTGACATCTGGTATCGGCACTCGGGATGATACACAGCAGCTCATGATTCACCTGTTGCCATAACAAGATGTTCCTAAGCCCAGAGACTGAGATCATCACAAAACCTTTGTTAGAGGCAAACTGAGTCACATCTGTTGGCTGCCAGATTTTTAGTTTTCTTTGAAAGATCAAGTGATTGCCATCACTAGAGACAAGATACTTGCCTGGAAAGCCCCAGCAACTCCATCAAGTCTTTCACATCTCTAAAGCATCCCCAGTGTTTTACTCGCATTACCGCAAACTCTTCCACTCCATTGGCCCACAGTGAAACTGGACTCTTGACCAGCTGTTTACCCATGAACTTACTCAAATACATTTGCATGTAGTTATCAAAGGAAAAAACAATCACTTTATTTTCAGAATACAGACTAAATCCCACTGTAAAATAACGAGCAAACACACACGATTAAAACACTCTGCACTTAAAAAGAGCCTCACTTTGCCATGTCTGCTGAACACAGCGTTTGCTCTGCAGTGCACACAGCTCTCCAACAGCAGCTGAGGTACTTGCAGGAGCTACACTTCATATATTATAACCCCCAAACCACTGTCATTTTGCATATAAATGCTACATTTTCCTGTATGCCTTGAAATACTAGTTAGGTACAATACTATCTTGTCATCTCTGCTCCCACGTTACGCTGGGTCCACCTTGCACCCTTCCACCAAAGCGACAAGAATTACTTCTACAGGGCTAAGCTCAGCAATACAAACTTTAAAGATGAGAAAAGTGGCAGCCAGCAATCTGCAGCCTGTGAATAAGCAGCATGTGCAGCACGATGTAAATACTGACAAGTTCAACACACACACATATGCACACAATCTCCTCCATTAAGCTTTCTGCACAGCGCAGCTCCTTCCATTCCCAAGCTTCTCCTAGAAAAACAGTCTTTCTCAAACGTAGCTCATTTAAAGCAGCCAACAGAATTTCACATGCCATCAATGGGCGTTGCTGCCTGTAATAAATTGGAGAGGATTTGGCTTTAAACAAGAGACTCACTTGCAAAGCACAGAGGTCACCAGCGGCTCCCAAGCAGCTTCACAAAGCATTGCAGGTCATCTCCTGCCACCAGAAGTGGCCTACAGCGTTCTGCCCTTTTAAACAAGCATCTTACCATCCTCCAGAGAACAGAACTGAGGTTGCCTGCGACTCCTACTTACAGCATTGAGCATAAAGAAGCATTGCAGTCCATTTGACAAAACTTATCGGTGGCAAAGGCTCCTTCACCTGAAAACTGGGTGACCTGGGCTGTGGTGGCAAAGGCCAGCGATGCCTCATTTTCTGAGCGTCCAAATGGCTACAGGAGAGAAGAGCTGACGTAACTGCAGAGATATCTCACATCCCCCATGGAGCAGGAACAACCTCATTGCATTTTCAGGCTGCAGATGACATACTGGGGGCTCACAGCGAACCCTGTATGTATTTAAAAACTCAGTCTTTACATCTTGCACCTCCAATTGAATGTCATGTTTATACTGAATGTCTTCAAGGACCAATAAAGCAATTCTTGGGCTTTCTTCCAAGCAAACCCTAACTCTAAGGCTCAGTACAAATTCACAGTGTAACGCAGGAGCACCAGCCAGTTGCTGGCAATGACCACGTGGATCTTCAAGTTAGATGGTGCTGAATCACTTCCTATGTTAAACCATTCTGTCTACAACCCTGTTTTATAGCTTCTCTGGTTAACCACTCTTCAAATCAGTTCTGACTGCAAACGCTGTCCTTAACTTAGCTGTTATAATAAAACTAATAATTATTTTCTGCCTACTGGTGTTCCCAATGCAATGCTGCCTATACAAATGCAAAGCTAATTCCTCCAGCAGGCCATCTAACTAAGGCTGTTCTCCAATAGCAGATTGACAGAAGCGGGCTGCAGATTGCAAAGTTTCCAAGCTTTCCATACCATGAAGTGAGGTAGCAACAAAGAGCCTTTCAAACAGCACTGTTCCCATTATTTTCCCCAGCAAAAAAATCCCTTTCCCATACAATTTAGTGAGTAAACTAGAGGCTTCTGTGCAGCAGCGGAAGCAGAAAAGAGATGGCAAATAAATAATGAAGGATAAGAACTAGACCAATAGTTTTGCAAAGTTTTCCTTTTTGGTACCAGCACTGAGCACTGCTCTTTTTCAGGTGGAGAGAAATACAAAACATTTCAGTCTTTTTGTGAGCTTAAAGTCCAAGTGACTTCTGCACAATCTGCTTGGCAATTTTATTAAATTGTTCTCTGTCTTCCCGCCACATCTTGGAGGCATCTACATTGGCTCCACTTTCATCGTTTGGCTCTGAAACGAGAGAGATGGAAAGGTCTGTGGGCAGGCAGGGGACTGAGCAGCATCAACTCATTTCTTCTGCAACGTCTCTGCACCACCTCTTCCCTGTGGCTCTGGTATACTTCCCCTGCTTGACACCATTAAAGGAATTATAGTTGCAGCTGCTGGACTCCCTAACAGTTCTCATTCAACTGATCACAAGAGAGCACCGCAGCAAGGTAGGCTTCAGGCAAGAAACAAGTGGTGGAGAAAGACTGTTTCACTTTGCTGGGGAGCTGAGCCCCAACACGCCGACAGAGTACCACTGTGTGTCACCAGCAGTGCTGTCAGAGGTCTGTAAAACTGCACAGGGCTCCCTGCTACACATTTGTTCTGGTTCTGTGGCTTCACAAACACAAAGCCCCACAAAGCAGGCCACCCAAACAGGCTCTGCCCCTCTTCTGGATGGTTTGTTCTATTAAAAAAAAACAACAAACAAACAACACAAAACTCAACGTAAAATGCTTTCATTTCTGCAATACCTTTCATCTGAGGATTTCAAAGTGCTTTACAAAGTAGACTAAGACCCTGCAACTCAAACACTTCTTTTTGTAGAGAGGTAAGCTGAGGCATGGAACTTCTCAGGTTCATGGTCAGCATGCAGCAGGACAACTGTCACGGGATTATACAAGCCACTCCAAACATACTGTACTCATTTTGCTTCCCATTCTGGTCCAAATACACAACTCTACACTACCCTTAAAACCCAGCAGTCAGGATAGATGCACAAGACACTCCGTTTGGTAAATTCAGGTTTGCTCAGTTGGCAGATCCACAGCTGAGAGCTTGCCAGCAGCCTGGAGGAAGATGACAATTGATGTTTTACACTAAGTCCTCCAAAAGCCATGGGGAAAACAGGATCAGAGAACAAGAGAGACCATATGATTCCCCTGTAGAGCAGTCTAGGTAAGGTTGTACAACAAGCCATGTTCCTGGAGGGCACAGGGAGCCCAACGAGGCACTGGTCTTTGGACAGATTCCATCAGCAGGTTGCTATTTTGAAGTTGACACAGTCACAGATAAGAATCTTTTGCATGTTCTTTGATCAGCTTTGCTGCTTCTAAAACCTAAACCTTCATCATTCCAAACTGATTCTTGGGGACACGCTTCTGCCTTCTCAGGCAGTTCAAAGCACTGTCCACCACGTGCAAAATATCCGTCAGGACGATGAGCATGAGAGATCTGATCCATAGTTCTTGCAGGATTTAAAGAAAGAAGTTGCACTGACTGTTTTCACCACACTCTGCTTCTCAAGAAGGCTTCTTTTATTTCAGAGATGGCAGAATGGAGTGCATTTCCCAGGTTGCCAAACAAACAGAAATCAGGGAAACTGGCTGGGAATAGAGGCCACGGACTCCTATCTAGCATACTGATTTATCTGCCTCTTAATCCTTCAGTTGCTAAAGCCAAATCCATTACTGCTTTGTGCAAGAGCAGCTGAACTTCAGGACCCATTACCTGACCATCACCCTGTGCCTGGCTGCTGCTGACCAGAAGGAACACAGTGCAGTTGTCAGAAAGTTGGAAACCCATTTACTAATTCAGGTTGTTTTTTTTTCCCCCCAATTATTTTAAGAAAATTGGTTTATTGATAAATAAATATTAGGGCTTTAAATACTCTGATTGCTGCCAAGTAGCTTAAGTGCAAAAATGCAAGGAGAAGCTTTAGCTATGTATCAAGCAGAAGCTAGCTGAGCTCCTGCTAATAAAACCCCAGCCCTTACCTGCCAGCATGCTAACGACAGACAAGAGGATCTTTTCCACACTCTGCACAGGACTCCACCGCTCAGCACTGCTCTCATATCCCATGGGATCATCCCCAGGAGCGTGAAGAATAGAGATGCAAACTCTCCCATCTGGGTAAACTGTGCAAGAAGTACAGGGGATTAACTGTTACTCTAAGGAAACACTTGGCTCTTCTAGATATTTCAGGCTTTGCCTACATATGACTGATACAGACTCAGTTTAAAAGTTCCTGTTGCAGAAAACCTAAAGACAAAAGTCTGATAAAACTTCTCAAAAACAAATTTACAAATCATCTTCCCCAAGGAAAGCTTGCTGGAAGCACTCAGATCACTTAGCAACCAACGAGAGGTTCCTTGGAAAAGTAAGAGCTGCAGCCTGGTGCAACAAGCCCAGCATTAGTGCACAGCCAAGTAGGTCTAGTCCTACTTAAATCTAGTCCTGCTTAAATTACAGGGTAACAGTCCTACATCACTGAATGCATGCTGGAGTCCTCCACTGGACCATGACAGTAAAAAAGAATAAAGCAAACTTCTCTGCTGCTTGTGACCTTGAATTTTCATTAACATGACCCAGCGTCATGGAAGTGCCCACGTGTAGCTGAGTCAGGCTGCTTGGGCCTCCAGCAGCCCACCCCCTCCTGGCTATGCTGCTTTCCGTGGCACAAATCAGCTCCTAGCACAGATCTGCAAGCCAAAGCCAGAGCTAGAATCACAGCATACTGCATGGATGCAGATCTGCCCCAGCAAGAAGTCTGGGTGAATTAGCCCAGCTGGAGCAACAAAGTGATTTGGCCATGCAGTTTCCATATGCCGACAGCTGCTGCAGATGTCAGAGCTGCAAAGGTGACACGGAACTGCCTCAGGCACTTGGGCACAGTTCTGTGCTGTCATGTGCAAACATGTGCCCCCCACATGAGAACAAAAATATGGGCTTGTCTGTGGATTAAATGGGCAAGAATCTGTGTCAGTAGTGCTTTGGGAAGAGAAAAGTAAAGGGACTTCAAGTAAATGCAAAATTCCTTGGAATAAGATAATAAATAAATAGCTTCCCAGTGGAGACTAAGAGTCGCATTGTACAACTGTCAGAATGCCAGCTGAGAAGGAAACCCTAGGCAGCAGGGCAGTGTTTGCTGCTTATTGTTCTCAAGTGGCAGAGGCCTAATAGCCTCAAACATGGGACCAGCTCATCAAATCTGGGTGATGACAACAATCTCATCACAATCCATGCTGATTTGGTAGATGCATTCACAATTGTACAGCAAATGCCAGGACTGACTCCAGAAAGTCGTGCTCTGGGTTGGAAGGAGCTTTAAGGTTTTTATCAGTCCAAAGAAAAAAGTTGTACTCATTGTTACTTCAATTCCTTCCCCTTAAGTCCCAAGAGACATAAAGCTGAGACGTCCGCTCCGGATTTGCAGCAAAAAGGCCAGCAAAGTCTTGAGTATTGAGGCCTACAGATGTACCAGCTGCATGGACAGAGCACCCTGGACTTCAGAAAGATCACGCCTTTGTTAAATGGGGAAACAAAGTCATGCTGCCAACTAAAGCTGCATCCAGACTTTGGTCAATATGAATAAATTTTCACCTAAAACAAAACTACTTAAAATACAAACCACAGAGCAACACTGGAAAGAGTCTGTATTGTTTTACTAAATCTTACATCGTGTACAAAACACTTCTGTTTGTTTATGAAGTAGTTACAAGTATTCCTGGAACGATCTTCAAGGCAGTGGAACTGTTGGAATCTACTGGGCTGTTTAACATCATAAGGTGTGTAAGGACTAATGTGACAAAGAGAGAGCGATCCCAGCAAAGAGCAGCACTGCTGTGTAGCTGCTCACACCTACAGACAGGGAGAGCACCATTCATCCCTGAGCCAGGATGCCTGCTCTCTGTCAGCAGAAGCTCTTTGTTTATGGTGTAAAACCCCCTGCTCCCCATGCAGCACTCACTGTTTGGATGGAACATCTCACACGTGAACCTCATCTTCGGAGGACTTAGAGGATAGTCAAGTGGGAAGCTCAGAACAGCAGGGAAAACCCCGTACTCGAAACAGGTATCTTCAGGACCCCTAGAAAGAGACAAAAAGAGATTCACCTGAGTTATGTGTATTTCTTTCACCAGCTTCTTGTCTAATGAGACGTCTTAGGTTGTTGTTATATCACCTACTCCAGAATACTAAGAGTTAAAACGCTCTCATCCCACATCTCATAAACTTAAATCCAAATTTGGGGTTTGGGAGGGAATGGGGGAAAAAAAAAAATACAGGAAAAAAAAAAAATCAAAGCTTGCACACTAAATTACTAGGAAGGTCACAACATGGCTTAATTAGCAGGGTGTGTCTGGCTATAATTGGAGTATCTGGCTCCAAGGCATGTTCCAGGATTTGAGTGTCTGCACGTCAAGAGAAGGCAGAGGCAGGTGTGGGACTCCCGTGCCTTTGAAGATGCTGTTAGGCTGCAGAGACAGAGATGTCAAATGCTGTAGCTCAAAAAGAGCTTATAAAGCCTAGGAGGATTCCAACAGCCAGTATCGAGTGCAACCACACCATGTTTTGTATAAAAATAAAAACGCAGCCCAGGGACCAAAACTGCCAGATGCAGGACAGCCCCATGCTTTGCAGACTTCAGGCATTTAGCTTTCCCTCCCTCAAATGTATGCAGAGAAGAAATAACTTCATCAAGGCTCCTGCAGAAACATTTCCTTCTTGTGTTCAGCATCCAGTTCAAAGCACAGTCAGGTGAGCATACAGCTATTTTATCCTCTCTACACAAAACGTTTTTGGAAGGTAAGCAAAAAAGTTTACTTGACATGATTTATTCCAACTAGATGAACCCCCTGGAAGTTATAAAACAAACTCCATCTCCCCTGATTGGCAAGATCAGGGAAAAGGCTTCGTCACTTAATGTCTCAGCCAAGGAAACCTCCTGTCTTCACTAGACAGCTTTTGAAATGAGGATTCTATTGCCTGGGAAGAAAGATTTAGGAATATATTTGTGCCTGCACCTCCCAACCCACCAACATGTTCTCCACGCCAGAAGGAACAAAAGATCTCAAAGCCAAATGGTCAAAAGCTTCATCCAGTTCAGATTACGTTGGTGATCTACAGAAAAAGAAAATGGAGGCGGGCAAAACCTAAAGCCCCACAGAGGGTCACTGCTAAACTCTGCAATTCAGAAGGCTTGGCTGACAGATAAACACAAGACCTCAAGTGCTTTAAACCTGAACAGTGAGATTAGAGAAATGCAGCTATGCAGGATGAGCTGAAGCATCTCAACCATGTATGCTCCCTTTCTGTCTTCTCCTTAAATTTAGTCAGGATTCAATATTCACATCTGAGGGCAAAATGAATGCCTTTTTTCACAAGTATTTTAATTCCAGCTGCATTTTCAAGGCTTATTGTTGAACTTCTAAGAGTATGTACATACAAGCATTGAAAAGCTGGTGGGTGTCTTCTGTTCTGAGAGCAAACACACAGCCTTAAGGGCTCTTCTGTCAAATACATTAACCCAATATGCTCCATTTTAGGCCCTGCATTAAGAGAGCACACTGCTTTTGTTTCAGCCATTCACTGCTGCCAGGGTCAACTTCAAAGAAATTATTTAAGTTAATCCAAGACAGCGTTTGCAACTACAAAACACACTGAAGACCACAACGGTTAAACTTGCTGCTTTCAGTTCTAAAAGGATTATCAGCAGGGCCAGCAAGGCAAAACACACAGCCCTTCTGGAGCAGGAATTTCACAGCACATCACATTTTCAGGACCTCTGTGCCTTCTGCAGGGATTTTTCCTGAGCTTCTCCCTCTGATAAGGATTTCCCCAGGAAAAGCTCAGAGCACAGCAGTGGCATCCTCCCTATTGAGCCGACAGGCCAGCAAACATCCCTTTTCCCATGGGATGCCCTTCTGCAAATTCTCTGCTAGGGTCAGAGGGAACTTGTCACCTGCAAGTGATGCATCTGACTCAGCACTGCGATCTAACCAGCCTTCCTTATCCTCTGCCTGCATTTGTTTCTTTCCTTCCTGTCTTGCTCCCAGCAGCTATGGCAAAGACATCGATACGAATTCCAGAAGTTAACAAAAAGTTGCACTATTCCTGCAGTGCCTGTGCTAAATGTAACTATGCTGACTCCAGAGCAGAAAAAATCATGCCAGGAACAATTCCTGCCATACAAGATATGAGATTCTGAACTCCGTGAGCTTGATGTTATTTAGGCAAGGGAAAAAAAAAAAACCCAAGGGCAGTGCCTGCCAAAATAGGAGGGAAAATTGAAGTGATAACAGCAATTAATGCCATAACCATGGCTTCAAGTACATTTGTAAGTGGATCCTCAAAAAGAGGGCGAAAAAAGACCAAACCCCACAGTCATCAGATGCTGAAAAGGGGAATTCCATGCTAGAGGACAAAACTTGGTCTTGAAATGTTAAATTCATGAGCTTGCATAACATAACAGCCTGTCAGACCTCACGCAGTGTCAAGCTGATAAACTCCATTGACGTGCTGGGGCTATTTATCACCAGGAATGAAGTTCCCAGCTGCAAAGGTTTGGTCTTTGTAAATACTCCCAGTCAGCTACTGTTTGATGCCTTATCAGAAGGGCACACTGAACACCAGGCTGTAAGCTTTCACTGTTCAGAAAAATTACCACGTTGTATTTCAACCTACAGCTCTAATCCATAAGCAAAAGAACTGTCCTATCATTCAGCCACGTCAATGCAGAATGTTTATGCTCAGCATTTATCCAGCACTGCTGCTGCAGGCAAGAACATCAGGAATACAAACAGTATTGTTACTTATTGTATTAAAAGAAAGCCTTTTAAAACAATCTCTGGGCCAAGCTTCCAAGCACTCTCTGTAACATCACCCAGACCCCCTACAGACTGATAGATGGGCAACGTCCTCTCCTCTTAACTCTCCTTTTCTTCAGTTTTGTTTGTGATGATGTAGCTCTAGCTTTCTCAAAAGCATGTGGAGAGAAGAATATTTTGCTCTCTTTTCATCACTGCAGCACTTATCTACATTTTGCATTTCATCCTTCTCAAATGTAAGTCAGCCTTACTCTTAATCACCTCATCTGCACTTCTTTCAATCCCACAGTCTCACACAGCACATTTGAGATTACAAAACACTCAAGAAGATTATCACAAACATAAACAAGTCGTGTAGCTGTACTCAAACATGTTTACCAATGGAGTATTGTAAAGAGATTAAAGTAACCAGACGTGCTTAGGGTAAACTTGTTTCTATTGTACCACAGCTTCAGAATTTAGCAGATCTTAGAATATGATTTTATTATGACACACACACAATTCAGAAACTAAAAGCACCTCCGCCTCTCATTTAGCGCTGACAAAGACCTGAAGCTCAACACTCAGCACTTTAAAGGGCTTGCAAGTTTGCAGGCAGATCCTCTGCTGCTTAAGCATTTGTTAGGAGAAACAACAGAAAAAAAGATATTTTCTAGGTAATAAATCAAATAAAGAAGTATCCTGTGTGCCCCCCATGAAAGCTGTCATCAACCACAAAATCTCTGTTACTAGAAAGTAGTGATGGACAGGAATTTCCTTCCACATTCCAAGAGCAATAAATCCTCTGGGGTTTCTAAACACCAAGAGAGCTTTCTGAGCTGGCAGTAGGTACATCACAAAACACATGTTATAGAGAAGTGGTAACTGTCCCACTTACAGAAAGAAGAGTAAGATTCCATGGTTGCCTAAGGTGACAGGTTTTGACTGTAGTCATCTACCTAATTCCATGACTGGTGTTTATCTTCAGGAGACTGAGCTCCCAGGAGGTGCAACCTGTTCATCACAGGATGCCCTGCTGCAAGCAGCTCTGTATCAACCCACGAACGAGCAGTGGTAATCCAAATCTCTACCAAGGATTAAAATAACTTAGAGCCTCATGCTTGCAAGAAAGCAGGATCACCCCCGCAGCTCGTACAGAATAGGTGATACACTACAGCTTGATAGGAATGGCATTGTTTGTGTGCCAGCTGCTTTTCCACCCTTGGACAACACTGTCCAAGGGGTCACGCACCACGAGGAGCTGTGCTGAAAGCCTGCCCTGTGCCCAGCCCCAAACAGGGTCAGCAAACGCTGCTCCTACCAAAGAGCACAAGAAATGCAGTGTGGATTAACCCTACCGACAGGTTATCAGCTGCAGGACTGGAACTTCCTCATCTCACTGTCACGTGTATCAACTGTCAGACCTGTTCCTTCCCCTTCAACAACTCTGTAGAACTTTTATCTTGTAAAAATCACCAGGCACCCAGAACTCCCCAAAGAAGGATGCAGACAGCATGAGTAAAGCAGTAGAAATGAGAGAGGACTTGTAGGCTGCTGGGTATCACCCTGTCTTTTCAAGGTAACTTCAGCTGTGAACAACTGTACCCAACAGCCCAGGAGCAGAAGGACGCAGCCTTGGAAGAAGTCTGTCAGCCCCCAAAATACAGCAGAGTGATCAGAGCTGTTCACCAGCAGAAGAGTTCTACAAGGAACCACCACAGCCAACATCTCCTCAAGAGCAGCTGTTCCATGAAATGTAAAGAATTTGAAAAGATTTTTAAAGTGTTGTTTTGCTGTTGTGTTTTTTGTTTGTTGGTTGGTTTTTTAATTTCAGGGCTAGCTCAAATCAATCCTCTTTCAATTTCCCTACAAAGGATTTGAATAGTAAGTCAACTAATTTTAGACAATGATTTTTTTTCTCCTATCTCTGATGGTCTATCTGGCCATTTTGCTCCCCTTAAAACTTGAGGAAACCTGTCCTGTATTTGCAGTTGAGCAATGTTTGTGTGATCTACAAGCAATTTATGGTTTCCTGCAGTGCTTGTATACACAATATATCCAGTGGAGCCTGAATGATGACTCTTGTAAAATCTGCAAGTTACATGCCAAGTGTTTCTTATTATGGCACCTGCATGACAAATCATCACTTCAGCTGCCCCATCACACTGTTTAAATTCCAAATATAATTTCCAGTTTGAATCAGAAATGAAGTTTCCAGCCAGAGATAGGCCAAAGTCAATGTAATACAAAACTAGGAAGATGTTTTTTTAAATATTCTTGCTCTCCCAGAAGGTACTCATAGAGCACAAGAGCTGTTTTCAGAAAAAAAGCAATATTGACTCACATAATCAGAGCTTCCCACTCAAAGAAGTTTTCCTCATTCATAGGACCTAAGAGGAAAAAAAAAAACATGAAACGATGCTCAGAGCTGTCAGAAAGTAAGGCTCCAACTTCACAGTGCACAAGCTGGTTAGCATCTCACCTGCTACTATCCCTTCTGGTGGGTTCAGGGTCAGTTCTATAAAAGAAAAAGGACAAGGAATGTTAACACAGCCTGAGGAAAGCACAGGAGGAATCTTCTGGCTTTGCTTTTCTGGGCAAGGTTTGCCATCCAGGAGGTCAATGCAAGACAATTTTCTAAGCAAAATGACTGCAGAATCATGGAATGGTTTGGGTTGGAAGGGACCTTAAACACCATCAAGTTCCACGTCCCTGCTGTGAGGGGCTGAACACAGTGCTTCAGGTGGGGCTTCACGAGGGCAGAGAGGAGGACGCTGCCCCCCAACCTGCTGGCCATGCTGCTTTTAATGCAGCCCAGCATGCAGTTGGCCTTCAGGGCTGCAAGCACACACTGTCCCAAAACAGACCCAAGGGACAGCACATGGACATGGAGCTTCTGACCACAGCAGTGAGTGCGACCATCCAGCTAACTCATCATCCACTGAGCAGTCCATCCATCACATCCACATCTCTCTGTTTTAGAGACAAGGACATTGCCTGAGGTCCTGTGCTTTTTCAAGATCTCAAAGCTTGTCTTCCCAGTGGAAGAAAACTGGGAAGGAAGGCAAAAAAAATCCCTTTTCACAAGCATGGGGCACTGTGCTACTGGGCATAAAGGTATACACTCAACGAACAGGTTGTACTGCTATATAGCCTATTTGCACCAACTTAGACTTCACAGCACGTCCACACAAAACCCAAAACAACACTAAAAGGTGAAGGAGCAGAAGCAAAGAGATAATGACAAGTGCCTCTGTGCTGCAGACCTAAACCATCTCGCCCCATGAGGCCTGGGAAGTGCAAGTTGAAAAGAGACCAACAGCACAGCTGTGGATGCAGAATGCTGACTGACACCCTTGCTCTGTATAGGAAATGGATGCAATTCCCAATTCATCAGTGAACTTCTACCAGCGACTCACACCATGCAAACACCAACCACAGAGCACCACACGCATTCTGCAACCTGAAAACAAGCAGCAACGCATCACCAGGGAAGATGAAAAGCCATGAAGGGCTGCATGAGAGATTAACCTAATTCCTGCTAGGCTGTAAGTGAGAGCTGTGGGTAACGCTGCACAAACCAGAGCACAGATTTGTGTCTCAAAGGGGTGATGGATTCAAAAGCCATTGAGATACGCTGGCAGGAAAGACAGCAAAACCCTCCGGCTCACTCAGATTGCCATCAGCTTCGGCACACATTCAAGTTCAAAAGAAGAGCAGCAGATGGAGGTCAGTCCCAGGGCTGAACACCAGAACAGGGACATTACAGAGCGGGTTTTTCCAGCTTGACAGTGGGTCTGCAGCAGCTGTGCTCGTAGATGGTTCTAGGCAGATGGAGGTGTCAAACTTGGGAACTCCTGGAACTGTTTCGACCCATATTGGGGCTCTTTCTTTAAGGGAAAACAAACAAGACCCCACAGTTCTGCTATTTCCCACAATTTCCCCTGAAAATCCAGGGAGCTCTGATATTTCAGACCCTATGCTGGTGGGGCTGGACGTCTGGGATTCTGTACAGCTCTCCAAGCAAAGCTGGGTGCTGGGAATCATGAGGCAAAACCCCAGAGCAAGGAACCTGCAAGGCGATGGAAGCTCACTTCTTCACTTCTCCCTGCTCACCTCTCCCCTTGGACACCAGTCAGAGGTTTCCATCCTGAAGGACCAGGCAAGGCAGTAACCGGACAGTGAACGGGCACGGAGCTTTGATTTGGAGGAGATACTTAGGAAGAAGAAAGGCCTTTCAGACATGGATAGTCACATCCTACTGTATGGTTTGTCTAGAACCACTCTAAAGGAAACGGGGTGCACTGCATTCAAGAGCTGCAAAGCACAAGCTGCCAGAACTGCCGTGGCAGCAGCTGCTTCAGTCCCACTGCAGCTTCCAAAATAGAAATCAAAATAGGACAAACACCCAATCAGCAGGATTCTGCTGGAGGCCTCTGAGAGGCTGGAGGATGAAAGGCAACGTGGCAAGGAGGAGAAAATGGAAATTCAGAAAAGGAATGCTAACAACAAAAAAAAAGGTTTTGAAGAGGCAAACAAAAAGGCAAACAAAGGAGCAGAGAGGCTCAAGAAAAAGCTGAGGCTGGCAGGTAAAGGCACTGGGCATTCACACCCCAGAGGAGCTGCCCTGGAGTGTCCCAGGAGCCTGGGTGGCTGCAGGCCCTCTGCCACGCACATATGGCGAGTGCATGTGGGAGCAGCCCATGGCAGGCAGCCCAACAGCTGCCTCAGAACAATGCCTCTCTTCAGCACTGGGAGCAGTTGAAGCTTTGCATCCTCCACAAGGCGTCCCATTCGATTTGCACGGCGGTCGTGCTGCACACAGTCAGGGGATTTGCTTCCAAATGCAAACACAATGAAGTCCCAGCTTGCAGCAGAGGAGCTAAGCCTTGTTTTAAAGCTTTGCTCTTAAGGCAAGACCGAATGAAAGGGAAAAGCTGGCACAACCAATGTGCGGCGCTTCTGCTGGGAACATGGCACAGATTTGGGTGCACACAGGCTCAGTGCATCCGTTTCCATTTCACTGCCCCACCCCTGCTGCTCTGCATGATGCAGATCTGCCTTCTCCAAACCTCCTGGCTTTAACCCTGCACTGCCCCCAGCGATACCTGCCAGGGTTACAACCCACCACTCAGGCACCTCTTTGCTTTTCTGTAAGGTGCATAAAACCAAACCACTGCACGTCCTGTGCACCTACAGCTTCGACTGAGTGTTTCCCAAGTAGCCCCTTTGAGATTGAAAACAGACAAGATACCTTCAAGAGCATGCAGCAAGGAAATGATAAAGGCAGAAACAGCAGGTTTCCTTCCCTTAAGTCTCGCAAGCATAAGCTCCTATTGAGAGATACATTTTAGGCTTTAATACTGTTAAATATTCTAAACTGAGATTTTAACAAACATATACACCAGCAGGAATTACATGCTTTTTATATCTGATTTTTGAAAGCTTTATCTACGTGAGTATAAAAACACTTCAACACATGAGACAGCAAACGGTTGTCAGCCTCCAAACATGCAAACTAAGCTCTAAATGAGGACAAAAACAAAATGAATCTTGCTGGTGCTCACAGCCACCTTCCCTTCAGCTTCACCTGGATGGGAAAACATTGCCATTTCACAGCACCCCCCAGAAGGAAGTAATGCTTTTCTGCTCCAACAGGCTGAAAGCTCACACAGCATCAAGCATTTTTCACATACGGTAACAACAAACTGATTTAAACATGCACACACACACACAGAAAATTAGCAGTCAAAACTTATTAAAGAAAAAAAAAAAAAAGCAGGAAAGGGGAGAATCAGCAATCTGGTAAACAGAATGTAACCACCAGCAAGGCACCGACTGCCAAACATCTCTATCACAACCAGAAGTACATAAAGGGAAGAGCAGAGAAAGAAGGAAGAAAACTTCAACAGAGCAGAACAAATTCTGCAAGGCTGCAGCTTGGCAGCCTGTTGGGAAGCAGCAGGGAGGGGCAGGGCTGTTTGGTGGTGAAGCTGGACAAGAGCACCCACCAAATACATGAACCCCAGCCATGAAAACAGCACAGGGCCTCGCAGGCGACCACAGGAACTGAAAGCTCTACTTTACTTCTGGAATTCAGGTGTGCAGAAGGAATACTGTGCCCTCAGCCACACTGCATTATTTTGCCTTTCACAACGCTCTATCTGACTACTGTTGGGAAAGCGTAAGAGAGGATAATAAACAAGATGGTATCTCAGGTCACGTCGAGTGCTGTATCAGGACAGCATGCAAAGAAGATTCATGGGGTGCCAGCCTGGAGCATTAAGTAACTTCCTTTTCAATGTTCTTTAGTTAGTATCAGTTTTCTCTTAGCAATTCATTCGTGTATGGCATTAAGATCGTGGAGCTTCCCAGTAACAAAGTACTGGGAGCTAGAAGTACTTCAGAAGTACTTCAAAGACAGGGGACTCACACAGGAGAGCAGAAGGAGCAGAGACCAGTCCTGCTGTGGCTGGTTTTTGGGGCAGCACTTTGTGGTGACAACAGAGAAAAGTAGTGTGTCTAGGACACCACGTCAGCAGGCCAGGGCTGACTGTCGTCATCAGATAGGTTAGAGCTCATGCCCTGCAGGATGTCCCAGGACCAAGCACAGGGTCTGAAAACGTGTACTCAGAAATACTGTTTGGTACAGACTGAAGCCACCAAGGCAAAGTGAGAACCAGCTCCACATCCCTGAAGAGCAAACAGCCTCCATATAGCATGAAGCAGGCAGCCAGTTCTCGTGTCCAGTCCTTACAGCTCAACACCATCCTCCACCCAACTAACAGTGGGTTTTCCCCTATCCTGTTGCCTTTTGTTATGTAAAAAGCTGGAAAATGACAGACCAAAACCAACCTGCCTATCTCTCAAAAGAAAGCCCCTTTGGTCAACTCATGGAAGCAGGCAGTTTGTGCTGGCAGAAACACCCTGAGAGGGCCCCATCCTTCCAGCATCGGGCACCAGCAGCTCCCGAGGTCGGCAGAGGCTCCCGGCTCCCTCTGGCGGGGCGAGAGCAGCAGTGGCTCCCCTGGCCCCGCTGTCTGCTAGCCACAACTCATCCAACTTTTACGCAAACAAGTCGAGGTCATTCCTCAGTAAGATATATTTAAATGCATCCATCAGCTGCACACACGTTCACCTTTTTGAGTCGTTTTGGGTTTTGTGTTAAGTCGTGCTCGCTGCCGTGGAGCTGTGCCGTGCCCACCGCCTCGTGCTGCACAACCTCTCCCTGCCCCCAGCCGCCCCTCCTCAACGCAGCTCCACTCCGTTCCCTCAGCGCACAGCTCGGCGCTGCCCAACCGCTCCCCGTGAGGAGTTGCAGCCGCCACGACGGCTCCGCTCAGCTCCTGTGCTCTGGGCCGAATAAACCACAGCCCTCAGCACTGCTCACACACACGCCGTGTCCACAGACCCTTCCCCACCTCCGCATCTCTGAACCCTCTATCGCAGCCGCTATTCGGAGATCAGCCCGACAGCCGTCCCCTCCTCACAGCCCCTCTCGGCCCCAGGCAGCCTACAGGCACTGAGGCCGCCCCGCCTCCCGCAAGACCCCCAACCCTACAGCCAGCCCTCTTCCGAGCCCTGCGCCCCACACAGCTCGCAGCACCACGGCCCGGCCTCGCTACTCACGCTTGTACTCAGCCATCAGCCGCTTGAGCGCTGTGCCCGCCATAGCGCGGCCCGCAGCGCCCCGGCCCCGCGCCGCTTCCGGGCGGGCTGGCGGGGAGGAAGAGGATAGGGGGCGCGCTAGCGCTCCGCCTCTATGGTGCGAGCCGAGTCCTCCCAGCGCCGGCCGCGCAGGCGCAGTATCACCAACGACTTGTGGGCGGGGCCGAGAGCCGCGGGAAGCGCGAGGCACAAAGCGCGCCCCGCCTGCTCCGCTCACCCCAACGCCTGATTGATGACGCTTCTCGTTTCTGCGTTAAAAAAGTATATTTCAGACAACTTTATCAAATCATGACAAAGCACATGTAAATCTGCAATATTCCAAACTCTGACTCTATACGAAGCATTGCATCTGCACGTACAGACTTCGTGTCGTAGGTTTCCCAGTAACTGTTTGCAACGCACACTTAAATCAGCATCTTTTTCCTCCTCTTCGGCATGTTTTAAAACAAAACAACAAAACTTGTAAGCTTGTGATCGGCATGAAAATATACTGAATTATTTACAAGGTTAGGATGGAACAGAAGGGCAGGACTGACAGCCAGGAATGCACTCCGTGTCCTCAAACACGGACGGATATTTAGGCCACAGGTTTAAAGGAAAAAAAGGAAACAGCAGACAGACAACGTATATTACTGAATCAGAACTTAAATCAAATGGGCCCAATTTAAGATATAGATTAATCCCTGCAGATACTGTTTTGACTTGCACACGCAGTACGTCAAAGACAACAAGCAATTTTGGTAAATGTCCTCTAAGGTTTCGAAGAATCCCATGTGATTGGCATGTTCATTTGTTTACTATTTAATAGCAAATCCAAGGACAGATGAGAGCGAGGTGCAATGAGCCTGGAAGGCCTCCGCTCCAGAGGATGGCATGTCTTAGCACAGCCCGCCCGTCTGCTGCTGGAACACATCGATAGTGTCTTCATCTTCCATCTCCAGCTGTGAGGTTGATACAGAGAACACAAGTTCACAACCACAAAGTTACAGAGTTACACAGGTTTCAAGATCTCTATTTCAAACCAGATTTAGTAGCTCACCCTCTAAAAGCAACAACCTGTCATGTGTTTCTTCTGCTCCTCACCTCAGGCCTCATCAGTGCAAGAAAACCCCCAAATTCTCAGCACTGATAGAGCTGGCAGCAGCTACAGCACTCAGCTTCACTCCCAGCTTTAAGCAGAAGTGGGGCAGAGCTCAAGAGCTCTGCACTTCCTCCAGGTCCTGTCCTGCCCACAGCAGCACACAGGTGCCAGTATGTTTGGCACCACTGCTTGTACAGATCTCCTACCCCAGCCAGGACAAAACAGGGAAGAAACTGAAGAAGCATTTTATAGCCATTTGCAGTAAAATCATCTTTCATACCTGTGCAGGTGTGTCTGCTTCATTAATAGGTTGTCCATCAAATCTGAATCTGATCTGCCTCATAGACAAACCCTGTAAATTTATAGAGTAATACATGTGAGAAACCATACTCTTAGTTTTGAATAAAATAAAAACATTCACTGATTTGCTGTCAGAACGGATAATAACAAAATTAAGATTTAAAGAACATAAACAAATGGGAAACTTCATGCCTCTGTTGCGGTACAAATGGAGGGAGCAGAGTTGCTCAACGGATGCTGTGCTGCTGCTGTGGCAGCAAGGGCTCTGCAAGGAGCAACGGTGCTGGGCTGCACCTGGCTCTGACCCACAGCACCGTGCTGCTCTGCAGGGCGTGCATGCGTGCGCGAGGGCCAGCAGTTCCTCATAAGGAGAAATGAGAGGCTTTAAATGCGTTCAGCAGCCAACACTCCCAACACATGCGTAGGAGCCCCCTGCTCACAGTGCCTGCTCACACCTCACACAACTCCTGCTGGGCACCCGCTCCCAGTCCCGACCTTCCGATGAAGACAAGGACCCACGCCGTGTTTGAGGCACGGGATGGGGCCGAGCCTTCGGTGTGGGGAAGCAGAGAAAGGGCCCCACGTGCACCAGCAAGGCAGAGCGATGCCGGCGGCCCGAGCTTCCCTCCAGGAATGCGGCGCACGGCAGGGATGCGGTCGGCCCCGGCGCCCGCGGGGCGATGCGCGCACCTGCCGCTCGCAGTAGGCCTTCATCAGCTTGCTGAGAGGCGTGTGCCGCTTGATCTTGAACTGCACCACGGAGCCATCCTGCCCGGCCACCTTCAGGTTGATGTGGTCGTTCTCTGTCTTCACTCCTTCCTAGCAAAAACCGGACGGGCGGAGATCAGCGCACGGCGAGGCCCGACCCTCCCCCCCGCTCCGCCTGCGACCCGCCTGCGACCCGCCCCGCGCCCGCCGAGCCCCCGCCGCGCCGCGCCGAGCTCACCTTGGGCTTCTCCTCCGACATGGCGGCAGGACGGGCCCAGAGGGTCCGGTAGGGGCGGGGAGGGCCCGGCCCGCGCGCTGCCTCCCGCCTGGCTCCCGCAGCCGCCACCAACCGCCCGCAAGAGAGCGCGCTCAGCCGCGCCCCCGCCGCCCCGCGCCAGCAACGCCGCGCCCCGATTGGCCGCCCGGCCGGTCACGTGAACGGAGGGTGGGGGGGACGAGCGATCGCACGCAGCTCGGCGCCTCTAGAAAGTGCGTCACGGAGTGGCGGAAGCGCCGCGAGCGAGGGGCGGGGCTCCGAGGGAGGGAGGGGCGAAGCACGGCGGCGCCGGCCCGGTCTTATGGCGCCCCCTCGCGGGCGTACTGCAAATATCACCCCGCGCTCAGGAGCTGTGCCCGGGGCTGCAGGGTCCGCGCTATCTGCGAGCGCCACGTGTGCCGCCAGCCCCACTCGGCTTTGTCACAAAACGGCATCAGTGGATGCTACCGCGTACACGCAGGGCTCGTTTGTACTGCAAATCCACTTCTAGCCCCGTGTAAGCCCCTATCCTGGGTTCCTCACAGGACATAAACACACAGCCCTGCACCCAACTCTCCCTGTTCTAAAGAAACTCAATCCTACCCCTGCCCATTGCCATGGTGGCAACCCAGGCCCAGCTGATAGCCACACTTGTGTGGAAGCAGAATGAAGCATTCACACGGGGATAGTAATCAAATCCATTTAATACATCTTTACCATACTGCATATGCATCAGAACCCTACCATATTGCTATCAGTAACAGGCACGGAGCCCAAGAGATGATCAAGAAAGGCACAGAGGTAGAGGGGCTGTGAAGGGACCCTGGATTAGTTGCAAGTGAAATGTGCATGTAGGCCTGCCCCCAGAGGCCCAAGGCAGCTAGAAACCAGCGCTGTGAGGGGGGTGCTGGTATGTGGGCACATACATGCAGCTGGAGACAGCCAGGCCACCCTCTGAGTCACTTCTACACAGAGGGAGACAACAGCCTCACACTGCACAATACCCAGCTTTGCATGAGGCAGGAGAAGGAAGACACGCTGGGCCACTCAGGACCTCAGCCAGGCACCGTGTTGCATTGTGCTGGGCTGCCACCCCCAGCTGGGTTAAGGAGGAGTGTGAAGCCCAGCACTATTGCCACCAAGTTTTCAGGCACAGAATGAAGTTTCAGCCTGGCCCAGCACTGCAGCTGATGGCTGGCTGCCTCAGCACAGCCCCTGCAGCAAAAGCCTAGGGCAAGCTGAGAACTGGAGTGGGGAATGGGGGAGTCACTGAGCAGGGCTCGTGGCAGCACATTGCACCATAGGGGTCTTCTGGAAAGTGACCCAGAGTGAGGTTGGTCTACAAGGAGGACGCCATTTTCCAGGTGTGACAGATCCAGAGAGGCTAGTTCTCAAATTTTGCATAAGGGTTCTCCTCCTTGAACAGGCCTGGAAGAAAAGAGAGTCACTGAGACCCCCAGGAGCAGCACTCACCGCTCTGGGTGACAATTCTTTGCCAACCATCCTCTGCTCACTCTCCTGTTCTAGAAACATGTACCAGTGTCTTCCTGGAAGTCTGTGCCCACACCACCCCATCACCTATCCCTCATGGGATACACACCAAGCACTGTGTTCAATCCTGAGCCCCTCACTACAAGGAGGAAGTGTGTCCAGAGGTCAGCAGAGCTGTGAGGGGTCTGGGGCACAAAATGTGATGGGGAACAGCAGAGGGAACTGGGATGGGTCAGAGAAGAGGAGGCTCAGAGGAGACCTCATTGCTCTGCAACTCACTGAGAGGAGATGGTGGTGAAGTGGGGAATCGGCCTCTGCTCCCAGATTAATAGCAGTGGGATGAGAGGTGATGGCCTTGAGATGCACCTCGGGTTGGATATTAGGAAAACATCATCCCCAGAAGTAGTGATGAGTCATTGGAAAGGGATGAGCTGCACAGGGAGGTGGAGTCACCATCCCTGGAGTTGTTCAAGAAGAGGATAGATGTCACACTAAGGGACACAGTCTAGAGTAGTCAGAGACATGGGTTGATGGCTGGAGTAGATGTCAGTGTTCCTTCCAACTTTAAATGATTCTACAATTCTAAAGCTTAGTGCTAGCTGCTAGTGCAAGCCACTGTACCGTATTTTCTTCGGATTTCATCATGCCGTGACTTCATCTCTGCTCTCCTGCAAGAAACAAACAGGAAAGAAACCACAAGTCAGTGACCAGCAGAACAGAGCCAAGGAGGAGGAGCTCCAGCTCCCAACTCCCTCTCAGGCTGGGAAGCTCCATGCTGGCAGCTCTGCTCAGAGCCTTCAGGCTGCTGGTCTCCCCGCAGCCCCCCTCCCACAGGACAGGAACTTCAGGGTGCATACACACCACCATCACAATGCTGCACCCACAGATCCCAGCAAGGGACTCTGTTTGCAGCACAGACCCTCATGCGGAGGCTGCAGCACCATGCAATTGGCACAGGGCAATGAAACCTCACCTCTCCTCCTGACGCACTCGCCTGCGCTCCCGCTCCCGGGCCGCTCGTTCATCCTCCTTGTCTGGCCTGCAGCAAAAAAGAGCCCATCAGCCCACACTGACCCACCTCCAGCAGCCCACAGCTCCACCTTAGGGACTCTTTGAGAGAACTGGGCACAGCCCACTCCGATACTTGCTTTTTGCTCTTTTTCTTACAACAGCAGCAGCAGCAAACAACCAGCATGATGAGGATCATTCCACCCACCACAGACATGGCAATGATCAGGGCTTCAAAATTCACTGCAAGATGCAACAAAACACACTTAGCACCCCAGTGTATGGCTCCCTGCTGACAACCATGCAGCTCCTGTCACTGGGAGCATCAGTTGCTGAACTTGAAGCAAGCATGACAGCCTGAGAAAGCAAGACAGACATCATCTACAGGTGTGCTCAGTGTTGGCACCAGCATGAATGCACCAGGCATGTTACTGCCAACCACAGTGCTGCAGAAAGCAGCTTTGTGGCTCACCTGAGGCAAGGCTGCTAGGCTGGAGGCCAGGTATTGGAAATCAGCAGCAGTAGGCAAGAAACCGAACCATGCTTTTCACCTCCAACAGGAGTTTCTTCACCAGCAGTACCCCCAAAATGCACAGCTCTGCAGGGCAAGCCAGGGCTTCACATCACCCTGCCCACACAACATGCTGCTTTGCCCGGTGACGAAGGCTGCAGTCACACACCACAAACACAGCTCACAGCTAATCTCTTGGAGGACTAATCACCCCTGAGGCTCATTTTGCAAGGTAAGGAATGTGTTCTTCCACAATGAGACCTTTTATGAAGCTACTCGCACACAAACTAGTATTTCAGGGCCTTACACAGCGGTGCTCACAAAGAGCAGACTCTCCCTCTGGGAGGTGTGGAAGCGGTTCTCACTTCCCCCAACAGGCAGTGAGGACAGCCCAGCCTCCAGAACAACAGCTGGCCACAGTTCAGCTGTGCTGCACCATGGGGACAAGCGATGGAAACTGAGCCCCAGCTTGTTCCCCTACCACCCCGCTCCCCAAAACCCAGGCTTTGTCCATGCACCATCGCGGCCCAAAGGAGACACCAAGCAGACAGGTCTCCCTGCACTCACCCCAGCAGACACCCCAGCGTGCAGAGCGGAGCTCGCAGAGATCAGCAGACGGGAGGATCCTCCGGACAGGGTACGGCACACACCTCCTGCTGCTGGCACACCACAGGCACTGCAGCATGCGAAAGCACAGCATTACTGCCAGGTACCATGCTCCTAAGTACCACAGCTACCACCATTCTGTTCTGCAGCAGGTTCACCTCAGCAGGGAATGCAGGTTCAGGGGATGGAGATTTCCACAGCAAGTAAAGATGCTGAGAGCGCTTCTAGTGGCTTGCAAGGAAGGAGTATCATTAAATCCTTTGTGTTCATTCTGCCCAGCTTTTTAGGGACAGGAAGGCCTTTGAGACAGAACTTGGTACAGAACTGCTGGTGCAGAAGATGCCCACCTGTGCCATCACTGCTTCCTCCCAGCCAGACCAGCTGCAGTGCCTCCACTCAGCCAGCTCCAGCCTGAGAATCAGAATCCCTACAGCTGAACTTGAGTATCTTAGGGATATTTTCCAGTCCTAACCCACACCACTGTGCCCAGCAACCATGTCCCTCAGTGCCACATCTCCTCTGAATCACCTCCAGTGATGGTGAATACCACAACCTCCCTGAGCAGCCATGCTAGTGCTGCCCAAAGCCCCCAGGCCAACTTGCTTGGCTTTGGCCAGAACTTCCTGGCCAAGTCAGCAGTGAGGTCTGTCTCAAGCCCAAACTTCCTGCTTTCAAGGCTGAGTGATGGAGGAGGTTTGCAGGAGAGCACACAGCCTACAGCTGCCACCGTGGCAGCCTATTCTGCCCCCACACACCTGTGGTGGGGCTGCATACATCAGGAACACCAAGAGGAAAGCTAACTGTTTCAAGTGCTAAGAGACGTCTGGAAAGAGCCAACCCTGATCTGCATGCAAGGCAACCTGCAAGAGGTGAGGGCACTCAACCAGCAAGCATCTGCTTGTTGTGCTGGGCAGTCAGGTGCTCCAGCATTCACAGGACTCACCTGAGCACAAGCAGCAGCTCACATTCTTGAGGAGGAGCCCAGCATATTAAATGACTCAAGCAGCACACCATGAGACTCAAGCACTTCCTAGCAGCCACTCCCTGAGCACCAATGGGCACTGGTCCTCATGCTGCCATGGGCAGATGGGTGGTACTCAGTGTGCTTAGGGCAGGGACAAAGGAGCTCCAACAGGGAAAAAGCTCTTCATACAGCCCCTCAAAGCACACACTATGCTTCTGGACATTAGGGAGAAGTCAGAGTTACTCCTGCTACTTACAGTGACATTCTTCAGGCACTCTTCGCAGCTTCTGTTTGTATACTGCTGACATTCTGTAGAAAAAAAAAGAACAGAGTGAAACACCTGAGGAGCTTGTCTGTGTTACAAGCTCTGTGCTCCTTGGAGCCTGTTTTTGTCCCCACATTGCAGGGACCTGTGCCCTAGGACATGCTGCCATGCATTAAATGTTGCTCCCAGGCGTGCCAACAGAGAACCTGCTGCATCTGCTGCAGCACCCTGGTTCTGGAGACAGATGCTGCCCCATGCCCTCCAGAAGCCACCTGAGCTACAGGAGATCAGAGCTGATTTCAGCAAGACCCAAAGGCAAACCCAAGCCTGGCCCATACTGACACAAAGCACTGAGCTGTTGGCTGCTCTGGATAGCTGAGCAGTGCTACGATGTGGCTGTCCAGAGACCTGCTGGGCAAGGACAGCCTGCACAAATCCCCTACCACTGGGTGAGAGGTCAGCCCAGTCAAACAGAACCCAGACAAGGAAGTTGCTGCAAGCAAAAGCAGTAGAGGGGCAGAAAGGAGCAACTGCAGCCCCACAGCAGAGCAGCCCCCCAATAACTGCAGCACGAGGAGCAATGCTTCGCAAAGCCCCAGTCCTGAGTGCCCCAAGTGTGTGAGGAGCAGAGCTGCATGCTCCCCTTGCAGCTGGGAGGAAGCCTCAGCTGCGGCCAAGTGTCAACAGCCGGTCACATGCTCCACACAGCCCTCCAAACAACCCAGCGATTTATTAACACTCAGATAAGGCTGTTTATGCACAGCAGAGAGGCTGAGATTGCACGCTCCACACAGCCTGCAACGCTCTGGGAAGCCGCATCCTCCCCATTTCCCCGGCCAAGGCCGGGAAAGCATCACAGTCATCAAGTTGCCTCCGCCCGTTTGCTTCCAGGCCGTTTGGAATCCACCCTTTTGCCCCGGGAGGCGATCGGACGGTTTACCACTTCCCCATCAGCACCGCTCTCCATGGAGCATTCCCCTTGGGGAAGCTGCCAGCACTCCCAACGCCACACCACCCTCACGGCTCTGTGGGATCAGCCCAGGACCCCAAACCCTGCGGCTACAGCCCCTGGCCACCGCAGCAACCCAGCCCCCCGCAGCGACAGGCGTCGTCTCAGCCCTCGCCAGCCACACACCGCTTCCCTACCGGGACCCTCCAGCTCACACTTGGTCACATTCTGCTTTCGGCAGCTGAACGGGAGAAGGCTGCAGTCACGCCGCTCCCACGCGCAGCCGTTTCCCGGAGCGGCCCCAAACCGCGACCACCGCCCCACCCCAACCGGCGGCACCCCCGGGACGGGCCCGCGGGATCAGCGCAGTCCCCACCCGATCCCCCCGCTCACCTCCCGCCGCCTCCCGTTGTTGAGCGGCGGCCGCGAGGAGCAACAGCGGCAGGACGAGCGACGCAGCGCACAGTCGCAGCGCGGGCGGCGGGGCCATGGCGGCACCGGCACACGGGGGCGGTGGGGCGGCCGCCGCCTTTCTACAGCCGTCGCGGTGGGGCGGGACCGACGGGGGCGTGCCGGGGGCGGCCCCGAGACGTTCGGCACCGGAGCGCGGAGCGCTGCGCGACCCCCACGCGTGGCGGCGGCGGGGCGAGGCGCGTCCCCGCTGCTGCCGTCCGTCCCCGCGGCGCCGGTCAGAGCGCTGTCCCGCCACGCGTGGACGCCGCCATACGAGTTTGGTGTCGACACGGGGGGGAAGCGTTCGGGGGCTTTTTCACGGAGTTGGTCTGCTGCGATGGGACAGAGAGGTGTGTTCCAGCATCCCCCGGTTCGCCCCAAAGACCCCGCTTCGGCTGGCGGGTTGCCGGGTTGGAGCATCACTTGCCACGTTTGTGACGTCGTTCCAGCCCACCAGAAAGCAAAACATGGGGGAAAAAAAAAACAAATTCTATAGCTTGAACACGTGGCATCGTGCCTCTGCGCCGCTGGCTTCGTCACGGAGCTCGTTGCCCGCTCTGGAGGCTCCAGCGATGTGTTCCCGGTGATGGAGTCCCGCTGGCTCGGAGAGGTCTGCCAAACCGCGCAGCAGGCGGAGGTGCAGGGGAGGGGGGATTTGGCAGCTCCGCGGGAGAAACGTGGGGCCCCTCGCATGGAGCTGGCGGGGAACCGCGGCTGTCCCAAAGCACCGGGGCTTCCTCGGGAGAGAGTGGTGCTGGAGGCTGGATGGCACCGGTGCCACCCATGTGCCTACCAGTGCCACCTGCGTCCCCCCAGCACCACTCAAGTCCCCTCCAGTGCCACCCCTGCACCCCCAATGTCACCGTATCTCCTTAAGTGCCACCCCTTTGCCCTCCGGTGCCATCACTGAGGGTCAGGCACCGCATGTCCCCTTTTGGGGAGCCCCGAAAGCAACCGGGAGGGGAGCAGCTCCCGTCCTGCTGTGTGCCAGCGGGGCCTTCCTGTGCACTCTCCTTATTTGTCGATGAAAGGTATTTTTGCCCCACTTAAGATGGCCTCAAGTGGTTTCCAAGGCAACAGTGCTAAAGTCATCACTGCCATGGAAACCCTCTCTTTGGCATAATATAAATATTTTCCTTGTGGAGGGAGGCTGGATGAGTGGGCGATGTGCTATTTTCTAGCGCTCGCTGGCTGCAGCAGGACAATCTCCAGGAGATGGGGGGGCCAGGGAGGATAAAATTAGCTCAGCACGGCGGCCGGCGATGGAGAGGGAGGCTGCCAGCACTGCGCTGGGGCTCTTGTGTCTCAAAAAGGGTTACTCTGCAAAGAGAGAAAGGAAAAATATGTCTGAGAGGGCAGAAGCCACTGCATCCATCATCAGGGCCATGTGGGAGCTGGGCTTTCCTGACAGAGATGCTGCTCCCATCTCACAGATCCCATCCTACAGCTCTCATCCCACTGCTCCCATCCCACTGTTCCCATCCCACAGCTCCCATCTCTCTGTTCCCATCCTACAGCTCCCATCCTGCTGCCCCCATCCCATCAATCCCATCTCAAAGCTCCCATCCCACAGCTCCCATCTCACTGTTCCTATTCCACTGCCCCCGTCCCATCGCTCCCATCCCACTGCCCATGGGGCTGAGTTCAGGCAGACCCCATTGCTCACTTTGGCATTGCCCTACAGTGCTGCCCTGCTGGAAAAAGACCAAATCCCACAAACAGGCAGTGTGTCTCAGCTGCTCACTGGATCCCAGATAAAACCCCAAGGATCTGCAGGCTAAATATAGCCTGAGCCCCTGTAAATTAAACAAAAGCTTTTTGCCAGGCTCACAGAAAGCTGGTTCCAGTGTTGGTTTTCTCTATGTAAGGTATAACTCCAGCAGGATCTGTTATTGTTAGCTGGAGCTCCCCATGCTGCCGGCCCCCCTGGCTTGGCTCTTTGGGAACACGCATCACTTAGGGCTCAGCTTCTCCCTCCCAGCTGCTGCTCCTGCCTGACCCCCCACCCTGCAGTGATCCTCAGCCCCTCCTGTCCCAGCACCATCCTGCTTGTTCATCCCAGGTCCTCCGTTTGCACACACACCGCTGCCCGCCTGCTTTCAGTGAACTCAACAGAAGAAGTCGTCCCCGAGCCTGCCATGGCTATATTTAGTTGGAACTTTTCTGTCCAGGATTCAGACTCTATTTGGAAACCTTGTGCCTTGGCTCACCGCCAACCATCCTGGTTTTGTACAGTAATCCCTCAGCATATGGCAAATGGTTCTCATCTCCTCGCGGCTGCGGCACGGCCCCAGCAGTGCGACGGCACAGCTCTGAGCTGAAAGCGAGATGGGCTGTGGCTGCGGCCCCGCATCCCCAGACTAGAAGCTCTCGGAATAGGAATATCTGCCTTATGTTGCTTTCAAGCATCTTCAAAGCTGCCCCGACCCCACGGTTTCCCAGAGCTCTGATGGATGATGGGCTGCGCATCACAGCACCCATACATTTCTCCGTAGGTTGGCTTGGGTGAATCAGGGTTTAACACAGCCCTGTGTACGCACAGGGCTTGGTGCAGCCCCTCCATCTCCACCTGTTTGTGGGGAACTCCCTCTGCAGCTTTGCAGCACTGCAACCCTCATGCAAAAAGCAAAGCGAGGAAGTGGCCTGGGAGTCCCCCAAAACCTTCAACACTTTCAAATCGGCCTTAAGAGTGCTGGGGAGGCAGGAGCTGGGGGTTTGTCAAGAGGGTTTCAGCCCCATGAGTGCAAAGGTTCCAGCTCTGCGCATAGCTCTGTGCGTGCGTAAGTGTATTACAGCATCTCTCTTGGAAACCCTCAGCACTGATATTCCAGCCCATGGAAAGCAAAACCAGAGGTTCCCAATGATGTGCGCATTTCTCTTCTTATGAGACACGGGGAGGGACGGAGCCAGCTGGGAAAGGTGATCCCGTGGCCATTTACACAGCGCTTCAAAACGGTTTAAATTCAGGATGGGAATGATGATGTATAACAAAACTACCCGCTCCAGAACCTCCAGACCTAAATCCCACACTATTATTTTAATGCAGCAGGTTAAGGGATCTGATAGAGTGTGTACTCCAAGTGATGCTTCATCTCACTCCTTACGGCCCGCAGTGGAAGCAGCTGGGAGGTGCTGCTGGGTGCCAGGCACCTGTGGGATGTGTGGGCTTTGCGAGCCCGGGGGGTGGAGTGAGAGTCCCGCAACGCCCCAGCACTGCTGGAGCCCATCCAAGCTGTATGGCTTTGCTGAGACACCCATGAGTGTGCTCCCTACAGCGCTGTGATTCATCCGCAGCCACTCGATTCAGCTGTAGCCTTTCATCTGCCGGGAACGTGGCATTTTCTTAAGTCACATGGGTTTTTTGTGATGCTATTACACACCTACGGGTCCAGCTGTTCCATCCTGGACGCTTTCTGGATGGTGCCATCCTGTCTGAAAGGCACCAGGTTTTCACACAGCTCGGGTCCTGCAGCGTAGGGTGGCACTGGGTCACACCACAGCCCAGCAGCAGCCCAGGGCTGTGTGCTGTGTGCAAGCAGCAGCGCCTGAGTGCTGAGCCCTGCCTGCAGGCTGTACGCATCCACGCATCCCACAGGGTGGGATCATTTCACGTCTATTTGCCATGGCTTCTCTCCATCTCAGCTAGCCAGCCTGGGAGTCTCAGCTCGTGGTGCCAAACGCCGCCCCGCCGTGTTTATTAACGATGATTGTAAAACCTTGGCAAACGCTTCTGCCAGCAGGTCTGCAGAAACCCCGCCGGATGCGGTGCCTCCGAGCAGATGGGGCTGGTTAGGAGGTGTCACGCTGCTAACAGCACCGCGCAGCTCTGCGCTCACAGCGCGCCCGGAGCCAGCAAAGAGCTGAGCTGACAGCGCGGGGAGTGCAGCTCTGAGTGCCCGGCCGGGCGGCACCTCTTCCTTCCCTGTTCTCACTGGCTGCAACTTCTCCTCCAGCCCACCGTGCCCATATCCTCACTGCCATCATTGCTACTGTGCAGCACCGATGCGCTCGAAATCGTGCACAGCACCACTGCTGTGCTCAGCAGGCACTGCTTTATGGTTTCCCCATCACTCCTCCTGTTTGCTCTGTCCTCCACCACCAAAAACCTCCCCGAGGTGCCCAGAGGTATTCAGTGAATGCTCATTGATGACATCAGCTGTTCAAGGCTGCACAGGTGCACAGGGAACCTCCACGCCTCCAAGCAGCCTCCACAACCATTTTTCCATATATTTTGGTGAGAGTGTGATTTTCTAACAATGCTGGGTTAAAATAACCACTGGGAACTGTCACCCACAGCACCATTTTCTAAACGTTTCAGTAGTGTCATATCACATCAGTGTTAGGTGAGACTGGCACAGCAGGGCTGCACGGAAGCATCCCTCTCTGCTCTGTCAAGATGTAATTCCAGGGAGCTCCCTCCACGACTGGGATACAGGTGGAAATCCTTAGCAAAATATCCCCCTTAGCATACGGCTGTCCCCTTCTGAAGGCTACACATTGTTGCTGCCTTCTGCAGAGGGCTCAGCATTGCTTGCCCAGCCCAGCACCCAGGTGGAAAAGCTGTGCTGCATCCCTGCTTCACCCACACCATCCTCCCTTGGCAGCCAGCTCCTGGCTGCATGGGAGAGCTCAACAAAGCGGCCGGCTCAGGAGCACTCCAGCACCGTGCCCAAGGGACACCCCTCCCCACGGCATTTTCTAATTTGAGGCAGATCTGTCACTCCCCAGGCCGCACGCCGCGTCTCGCTGTGAGTTAATATAAAGCTGCGACCACCCGCGGGCAGAGCAGGAGAGCGCATCCTTCTCACGGCCACGCAGAGCAAAAGTGAAAAAAAAAAAAAAAAAAGCCAAAAAAACAACAGCCTAGAAGTTTCTCCCATGGGGTTTTCCCCCTTTGAAATCTGACATCTTTCCTCTCTCAGTGAGGAATGCACTGGAGGCAGCCCGCTTGTCTCTGCGCTGCAGGACGGGCTGGTTTTGTTGTATCTTCTCAGGGCTGCCTATTCCTCAATGCCACAATGGGCTCTGCAGTTCCCATCTCCATCATATATGTAGTAAAATAATGGGGTTGTAATGGCTGAGGATCC